GAATTACTAGCACTCACTCTAATAGGGGTGGGACAAAATACTGACATGGCATTTTATCTTTGTCCTGACTCATGAAATTATCGATATCCTGTTGCCAAATATCAATATATATAAATATACAGTTCATACTTATGCCAGATTATAGTCATTTTACATTAGAATGATGACACATGTAGAGATTGACAAGTAACAGTGTGTTTAAGACTAAAAAGACACCAAGATGAGAATAAATGCACATTTTTGTAAAATGTTTCAACTCAATTTGTGTCAAACTGTGAAACTGACACCAGTAAATAAATACACAAAACCTGCAATTTCAAGTTGATTAAAAAACAAGACAGATATCATGACATATTGATCTTTGCAGAGTCTCCGTATTGTGATTTTATTGTTCTCGTGGGCCTCGTATTCGATATATCATCATGAGTTACCATGCCATTCCCACCCCTGGTCTCTACATGTCAGGTCATTCAACACTGAGCAAACCACTTGTGCATAATCGTGCATTATACTTACAAAGGATATGCAGGCAGCCAGTAAAAGGATCCTCACAAGCAAGTCTTCAAATTGTTCAATCACCAGCTCCCACAGAGATTTACCTGAAAGAGTTTCATTCACAAAAAAAATACAAGTGATTCATTGACAAATGCATGAATGAAAACAGGTGACTATATACATATATAAATATATATACGTTAACGTGTGCACTCACCCTCCTCAGCTGGCAGCTCTGCAGATCATCCCCCATTCAGATCCACGGGCAAAAGAAAGATGGAGACGCAGTTAATGAAAAGTTCAAACACTGTAATGCTGCAGCGGCAGAGAATCACACATGTGAGACATAAAGATGGTGTCAGGAGACGAGGCAGGACCACATTTCAACACACACAGCGTGACGTGATCAACCGCTTCTCCTCGGGATCCGTGGCCCGTACATGCGTGACACCGGTGTGGGGGAGATAGAGAGAACAGCTAGGCTACTTGTTTTCGAACACCCCGACGTCAACCAGCTTTCTTACCGTTTGGTCCGAACCGCTCCCGCTGCTTCTTCACCTGCTCGGAGCTCAGCCCGGTGCTCTCGTTCACGTTGAAGAAGCTGTAAACTTCCTCCACCGTCTTCGTGTGCGTGTTGTCCATGATGAACGGCCGCTGGAGGACACCGCTCGCTCGCTCGCTTCGCCCTGCTGGTCCCGACCTCAACCTGTCGCGGTTCTCTCCGTGTTTCGCTGTCGCCGCGTGGCTTTAAAAAAATAACGTGACGGTAACCGTGGATGGTATTGAAGGGAGAAGGGCTCACCCCCTCCGGCTGTCGCTGCTGCTGTTGTTGTGCTGTTGCCGGCTTCAGCAGCGGCGTGCAGGTGCCCGGCGAGAGTGGACGAGCTGAGCGGCTCCTGAGCTAACGGTGGCTAACAGGCTAATGCTAGCTAAGTGTTGGGCTCCGCTGGCTGCGCTTGAATTCACCGGCTGAGCTGAGCTGCTTTCACCGACAGATCCTCAGCGACTGGCTCATATCAACGCCTCAGTCCCGGCTGCTTGTTTCTACGACTTCCCCTTCTGTTCCGAGCGGAGACCTCCAGGCAGTGTGGGTCCGGCTAGATGGTTCAGACATGTGGCGGAGTCGCAGTTTGATTCCCGTCGCCCGCTTCGCCTGTGTGACTGTTGCAGGATCTCCGACGTCCTCCTCGGCTCCAGTCGCGCGTGTCCGCTGCAGATCTCGCGTGCGTCGAATGCGGTGTTCGGTGTCCGCATGTGGAACCAGCTGATTGGTCGGACACACCGGAAGTACTGCTCCTCTTGTGTGTGCGTGGTGCCATTCATTTCTGTGCCCCATTTACAAAACAATTATAT